CTCAGACGGTGGGCACCCCCCCTGCAGGGACCCCCTTTCTTTATTGGGGAACATGTCCCCCCCCCCCCCCCCCCCCGTCTGAGCAAGCCTCCTGCCACACTGCTGTGACACCCTCCTCTCCTGGTGGCAGGACTGGTTCGGCCTCCGCACGGAGATTTTCAACGCCGGAAACTACAGGAGGAAATTTCCGGAGGGCAGGAACGCGTCGGCCGACCTTTTCGACCCTTTGAACGCCGAGGTTCGATCCATGCGTAACCTCTTACGCTTTGATGGGGTGACTTTTGTTGGCGGATGATGATGTTGTCTAGGAGACGACATGTGTCCACTGTTTGATGCTTGTGCCGAGGAAAACGATAGTCATGCATGCCTACCCCTACCAGTAAGCGGGACGATCAAACATCACCGCCGGCTATTTCGGCCGCCCCCTAGTGAGAACGGAATAACGTGGGTGTCGTGGGTACTATTGACTTTCTGGACGCCCCTGGCGCTCTCGCGGCCCCCATCATGGTCCAGTCGAGTCTCTTCCAGATGAGTCAAGACGCTCTTGAACCCCCCCCCCCGTCCCTTTTACTTCCACCTTTCGCTGGTGCCGTCGGAACTGCCGCCGTTGGTTGCGCCTTTCTCCTCTCCCCCCAAAGGGTGCCAAGCTTCGGCAGCACTGCGCAGAGCTGGCGTTAAACGACGCGCTGGATAGCCTTGCTTCGGAGGAGCAGGGCGTGTACATCGCGGTCTTAGGTGCGCTTGGGTAGAGAGATTGCGCATGATCTGAAACCATGCACACCACATATGGTAGTGCACAAGGTCCTTGTTGCTTCCTTCCGGGAAGGGCTTGTTTAATCTGATCATCATTCTCATCCACTGTCGAGACCAAGGCTGTTGTTCGACCCAAGTTATGTTCATCGCCGTATTTCTTCCGCTCACCTCACGTCTTCCCCGCCTACCCATCCCGTTTGTTGTAATGACGCATCAGTCTCATACCCTCTGTTTCGTACTTGCGCTGCCCTCGCCGTTTGACGCTTTCGAGTCTGTTCATTTCCACGTCATATTTTGTTTCATATCTGTACTACTTGCTGGTGCTGTCGTGGCTTAGAGGAATGTAACGTTTCGTCGAATCATGCCGATCGGACTCCCTCCTCCCATCTCCCCTCTCGTCCACAAGTTTTCTATGTGCTCGCTCCCTTGCATGTCCTTGGTCTTTTGATCAACTCCGGTTGTTCTTCATCTCGTGTCTCTCCTTGTTTTCCGTTTAATAGAAATCTTAACACATGTCTCGTTTTTGTATGAGTGACCTCCCATATGCCATTTCATTCATGTGTGACTGACCTCTCATCGTCGCATTTTTACCACTCTTTTCCCTCTCAACCTTACAACCCATTGTGACTTGTGATCTTCCTGCCTGCACCAGACGCGACCAACACCACCAAAGAGCGACGAGCGTGGATCAGGGACACGGTAGAGGCGCACGAAGGCCACGTCAAGGTGCGAACGAACGAGCTTGCTTTTGTTTTTGATTCGTGGAAGGGGGGGGGGGGGGGGAGGGGATATTGTAGCGGGCGATGGGCTTACCACACCCCAAGCGTCGAGCTCCAAGAAGGGAGGGATCGTTGGCGAATGAGTGGGGCTGTGCCGAAGAAACCCCAGCCATGTGTATGGTTGGTTTGTCAAGACGGATAGTTTTTCCCTCTGATACCCCCCCACTCCCCCCCCGGTGTTTGCCATCGGGGTTGGGTTTTCGTCGCTTGGCAACGACGTTGTAAAACAAGCCGCCCCCCCCGGTGTTTGCCATCGGGGTTTGGGTTTTCGTCGCTTGGCAACGACGTTGTAAAACAAGCCCCCCACTCGGTGTTTGCCATCGGGATTGGGTTTTCGTCGCTTGGCAACGACGTTGTAAAACAAGCCAATTCACTTCGTGAACTCGGCAACCAGGTTACCGTTTTTTTTTTTACATCGG